TTTTTTGTTATAACAAAAGCAATTATGTAGAAGTTTTAGGGTCAACCGTGTAATTTAAATTTCAAGCATGTAAATAGTAATTCATAAAGGGGATCTAATATTTAATTTATTATTTCTTATCACATTAATTTCATCATAGGGTACCGATTGAGGGCGTTGTAGGGGTGTTTAATACCTTCCCTACATGTATCATAGGGTACCGATTTAGGGCGTTGTAAGGGTGCTTAATACCTTCCCTACACGTAACCGACCCCCGAACCCAATTCTGGTTATCAAGGCCATTATTGGACTTTAAAAACCTTTTATTTTTCCAATGTTTTGAGTAAAACATTGGTGGCGACTCCACAGAACCTATTTTCAAAACCATTAATTAAGGATTAGTTTGGTGTCCGGGCATTCCTTAATTGATGAGATCTTTAAAAGGATGTCTAAACCATTAGTTGCGAGATCGAAAATTTTCGGGTTGCGACATGGATCTGAAAACTTTATAAATAACTTTCACACTTTGAAACTTAAGAAGTGAGATGAACTGAAAACAAAAGAGAAAAAAATTGATATTGTGAAGTCTTTGTGACCTTCTTGGAGTGTTTTCTTTGTGAAACCAAGAAGAGAAACATTTTGTGAAATGCTTTGAAAGAGTTCATCATCATCACTACATTCTTGGGAGAAACAAATTAAGATTTGTTTGGAATTCACAATCTAATTTGTTCAACTTTCAGGTGAATTCGTTCATTTAATTCTTTGTGTAATGTATAAGGGAAATCTTAAGTAGGTGTCTCTAGTGGTAAGGAATTCTTGTAGTCGGTTTCTACAAGAAGTGCTTTCTTGGGGGTAAGAAAGTGGTTATTTTGAATGTAGCAGTATATGCATATGTGGTATGCTTGTAAAACTTCTTCATTGAGATAGTGGAACAAATCTTGATTAGGTTATGATTGAGGACTAGATATAGATCACATGTGAAGTGGCTGAACCAACATAAAATACTTGTGCATTCTTTTCTCACCCTTATCTCTTACATTGAGCAAAATCTTAATTGAGTGATAAAAAGGCTAATATCTTGATTAATATGTTTGTATGCTTAACCTTGCTTTAAACTGAATCAAAGTATTGCATATTAGTTGTTCTTAAAACTGGACTTAATCAAGATTAATCAAGAAAGCATATAGGACTCATTCCCATTAGCAAGTCTTTCAAGAAACTTCTTGAAAATTTAGATTAGAAAAGTTTAAGTTGAAATAAAGATCCTTAAAACTCTGATAAATGTTTTAAGTGTCATAGAATCTAATTCACCCCCTTCTTGGATTGAGCCATTCTTTTCTAACAACAATCTCTTTGATAAGTATTGAAGCTTTATTGCTGCCACAGAAATTCCTACCTCAATCTAGGAGGCCATGAAAATTGAAAATTGGACTCAAGCCATGAAAGGAGAGATGAATGCATTAGAAAGAAATTCAACCTGGGAGATTATTGATAAGCCAAGAGACGAGAAGGCTGTAAGGTGTAGATGGATATTCATAGTTAAACATAAGGCAGATGGGACAATAGAAAGATATAAAGCTAGATTGGTGGCAAAGAGCTACACCCAAACTTATGGGATTGACTATGAGAAGACATTTGCCCTAGTGGCAAAGATGAATATAGTTTGAGTTGTTGTCGCTTTGGCTACTCATTTTGGTTTGGACTTACACCAATTGGATGTGAAGAATGTCTTTCTTCATGAAGATCTGGAAGAGGAAGATTCCCCAGATTTTGAAGTGTATAATGAAAGAAGCAAGGTATGCCTTCTAAAGAAAGCATTATATGATCTTAAGCAATCTCCTAGACCATGGTTTGAAAGATTTACAAAAGTAATGGTTTCCTCGGGATATAGACAAAGCCAAGGAGATCATAGTTTATTTATAAAGCATTCTCCTACAGGTAAACTCACTCTACTACTTGCCTATGTGGATGATATGATTATTGCAGGATATGATGAAGCAGAAAAATTGGCATTAAAAGAAAAATTGGCAGCCCAATTTGAAATGAAAGACTTGGGCAAACCCAAGTACTTTCTTGGAATAGAGGTTGCTCACTTCAAGAATGGAATTTTCATCTCCCAAAGGAAATATGTACTTGATCTCCTCAAAGAAATAGGAAAGCTGGGATGTAGAACTTCATCAATTCCTATAGAATAGAATCATAGAATTGGAAGTGAAGAAAGTACTCCTGTAGAGAAGGCCCAATATCAGAGATTGGTAGGAAAATTGATTTATCTATCACACACAAGAACAAACATTACTTATGCAATTAGTGTAGTGAGTCAGTTTATGCATGATCCAAGAGAGGGACACATGCAAGCAATTGACAAAATTCTCTAGTACTTGAAGTCAAGTCCAGGAAAGGGGCTATTATTCAAAAGGGAAGACACGTTGGCTATGAAAATATATACTGATGTTGACTATGCAGGTTCTATCACTGACAGAAAATCTACTTCTAGGTATTGTATGTTTCTTGGAGATAGTCTGGTAACGTGGAGGAGAAAAAAGCAAGATAGAGTATCTCGTTCTAGTGCAGAAGCTAAATTTTGAGCCCTTGCTTAAGGAATGTGTGAAGAACTCTGGATGAAAATCATTTTGAATGACCTTAAAGTCAAGGTGGACAACCCCGTGCAACTATACTGTGACAATAAGTTTTCCATGAGCATTGCCCATAATCTAGTATAACATGACAGGAACAAACACATTGAGATTGACAGACACTTCATCAAAGATAATCTAGACAGTGGTTTTGTGATTACAACTCATGTTCCTACAGAACTTCAAATAGCATATATTTTTACAAAAGGGCTCCCTTAGGGTAGATTTCAAGATCTTGTAGGCAAGTTGAGAATGATTGATATCCATTTACCAACTTGAGGGGGAGTGTTGTAATTAGAGAAAAATCTTCCTAATTAGAAAAAGTAATCGTAGAATCTTCTATTTATTTTTCAGCATATTGTTTTTATTTCCTTATTTTGAAAGATTAGATTGTTACAAATAGGTGTAATGAGAATGTAATAGGTATGAATGAAAATAATAAAATCATTCTCTTTTTCAAGTCAAGTTTTCCATATGAAAGAACAACTCTTCAGTCCTTATAGTATGTGAAAATCTCTCAATATCTCACACTTCCTTGGTGCTTTTTATGGGTTGACTTGACAACACTGGATTCTTGTGATGTGTGGTTCACAATGGATGCTGAGTTCATAGGGTCATTACAATGGAAGGATGACAAGTTGACAATACAAAGCATGATAACGACAAAACTCCATGCTACAACCAAGCTTCAATTGGTTTACACAAAACACACAATGGTGAGGGTTTGAGCCTGGTAAAATGTTGCATTTTCTTTGGCTTCATAAACAGCGCATACATAGGTAAGCATAAATACCGTCATTGTGGATCAAAAATTACATTTTCTTTCAAACTTTCTATTTCTTATTGACTTGTGTTTATGTCAATTGGCACGACTTTACCAATTCTACCTAAGCTTATCTAGAAAACGACTATGAAACACTAGTACACAAAGGGTCTTTTACATCGCCTTTTTTGAGCCTTTTACGTCGGAAAAGGTTCCGACGTGTTACTCATTTATTTAAAGTTTTATCCTTTAAATGCGGAGAATGTTTGTCTCTGACTGCTCTTAACAGATTTCGCGTTTAATGATGAAGGTCATTCATTAGGAATGTGTCAGACTGAATTTTCAAATGCAAGGACTAAATATTTAGACGCAAGGGAAATTACCTAGACACTTCATCGGACGAAGGTTCTCAGACGCAATAATTTCTTACTGCACTCTAAGGAATATTCAAACGCAGTGGTTTACTACGTTTGTTTTCCTATTATGTTTCAAACAAAACTGGACAGTAAATATATTAATATTCCAAAGTATTTGATGTGATATATTCTTTTAACATTTGGAACATGCTTCATTGAAGTAAATGAGTTGATACTTGTTTTACCTATACTAGTTGTTTGTCCTTCTTGCTTTTCGACTTCCTGTTTGTCCTTCATTCTTCCATGGATCGTATTCTACCCCTGCAATGTTAATTGCTCAACCCAAGGGGTCAAGCTCTGATACCAATTGAAGTTAGAGAAAAAACACATAGAAGGGGGGTTAAATATGTGTGTGTGTGAACGGAGGAATTTTAAAATCATTTTCGCAAAGGAACTCTTTTTTGTCCAATAAAAAAATTATTTTGAAAACTTAAGAACTGTGCAGGATTTGCTCAATAAAGGATTTTCTGTCTGAAAGTTTATCGTCTACACAAGGAAAATGTTTCTTAAAATAATAAGTTAAGCAAGTGTAAAGGTTTTTATACTGGTTCGCTCAGACTGAGCTACGTCCAGTCTCCTTCAATTGAAAGGTTCCACTAGATTTTCAATTAAGTACAAGTATTATCACCACTTCTAGTTTGTCGGTTATTATCGACCACTTTTGGCCTGCCAACTTCACTCGTCAGCGCTAGTTTTCTTCGTTCAGTCTCTTCAGGCTCACAATGAGTATTCTCGACCATTCCTGGTCCCCGAGTATTATCAACTACTCCTGGTTGGCTAACTTCACTCATTAGCTCCAGTATTCTTTGTTCAGCCTCTTTAGGCTCTTAGTGAGTATTCTCGACCACTCTTGGTCCCCGAGTATTATCAACCACTCCTGGTTGGCTAACTTCACTCATTAGGACTAGTATTCTTTGTTTAGTCTCTTCAAGCTCTCAGTGAGGATTATCGACCACTCTTGGCCCGCTAACTTCACTCATTAGCGCTAGTATTCTTTGTTCAGCCTCTTCAGGCTCTTAGTGAGTATTCTTTGATAAGCCTCTCCAGGCTTATACAAGTATTCTTT